GGCGAGGGGAGGGGAAAGTGGAGTTCTTAGAGTCTCTTCCCACTCTGGTACTATGCAAAAACAAGGAGTAGAGCTGTAACACCGCTACTTAGAGTTACTTTAATTTGAAGTTACCTCAGACTTTAGTTTTAGCTTTGGATCCAGGCTTTTGCTGGTGCCTGTGCCACTGGGGACACTGGATCCGCTTATGATTGTATTGTTAAGAGCATAATATCAATCCAGCTTTTTTTTGAGCTATAACAGATGAAATGGACGCCATTTGTAAGCTCATTCGTATGGAGAAATCGTGGACATCCTATGTGCAATTCACGAATGATTCAAACATTTTTTATGTGCTCATTCGGTGAAATGAGAGAATATGCACCGTCCGTGTTTTCCAAGCACTTGAGCATTTCAAATATTTCTGTTGGCTTTTTTTACGCGCACGCTTTTTTTCAGGAAAGCAGTTCTCGTGGATGACTGAATTTGCCTTCTGTTCATGGATTTTCTAATTGCAGTGATGGACTGACGAGATGGTTGATTTCACGGCCGAGCATGTCTTCATCCTGGTTTGTGCACTGTTCTTCCCTCCAGTACTACTGATGGTATGGACCGTCGTTGTGGTGACAGTGTTCGGCCAGACTCTTGGCTTCAATCGTCGCTATTTGAATTGCTTACTCAAAATCTTTGAAGTATGTCTTTCGGAGTTTCGTTTCACTGTTTTTCAGTAAGCATCTGGGCATCTGGTCCGTGTATCGGGAAGAAGTGCCCTGAGTATCGGTGGTTTCCAGCTACAGCCGCTGCTCCCCCTTGCTGGAGTTGCAAAATTCACTGGCAGGGCTAATAATAATCTCACAAATTTTCTAATTTTCATTTCTTTCCTTCTTTTTCCTCTCTGTTCCATTCGTTTTTTTTGTAACTTCCTAATATTTGAGCGGGGAGGAGGCGTGATCAAGGTTTTCTAACACCTAGCATGTGCCTCTCCAGTTTCATTTGCTTCGGCAAAAGTCTTCTCTATCTAAAATCAGCAGTTTTTCAGTAGAATTTTGCTGAGTGCATGAGATGTATACGTCTGAGTGCGTGTTTGTGTGTGGGAGGAAGTGGAGCAGTGCATTGCAGTCATCGTAATTTTTGAATTTCTATAGTGGAGCGCCCGACAGATACGCTTGACTGCTTGCGAAAAGAGCCAAAATTCATTGAATTTACGCACAGAAACGAATCATAACCGGGGCGATGAAGGCTGCAACGTTGAGCATGCATCTGTGAAAAGCGACAAACGGCCAGATGTACCGAGGAGTAGTCGCAGGGACCAGCATTTACTCTCAGGTGAGCACCCCCATCGCTTTCCGTTCAGAGTTCTGCTTCTTCTTCTTCGTTAGTTTCATGCTGCAAGACAAAATCAGCTTCTGCTTTTAAGGGATAATATTCCGGGAAACATCGGTGCATTCGGATATTGTGAATGGCCAGCAGTCGGCAGCAAGCAGTCGAGGATGGGCTGCCGTCCGTGACAGTATGCATCTTGTTAAGGTCGGATTAGTCCACATAATAATCAAACAGTGTATTTTTTTAATCAAACTTTAAATATCTTTGATATTTGTATCGGAGGATGACACTTTTGCCACTATCTTTTCGCGCAAATGCTCCGAATTCGGCGAATTGCGATGGAAATAAATTGTATTGTGTTCCTCTACCTAGAGTTTCACGCTGCTTTACGTGTGGCCTATTTAAGAAGGACCTCCAGTTCTCGCAGATTAGTTCTACTTTTTTTACCTGTCGATGTTTGCGCGTGAAATTTGAATTACTAGTTTTGTGGTTCCTTTGGATATTATCCCAGTGCGCTCGTTGTCTTTCATATTCGTACGTAGTGGTGATGTTGTCGTATGGCATTTCCTGAAATTTAGCTGTGGTAACGCAAAAAAAAAGCGGTGGGGCGCACTACCCAGTTGTTTATTGATGGATTATTTCAGGCAGGCATTGAGGCTGTTATACAGGATGATGTGACAAGTCGATTTGAAGCGGAAGAACTGGTGTCCTGGAATATGCTTGCTCGAACTAGTCTTTCCTTCAAACCTTTTATCAAGTACGACTGAAAGTTTATTGTCGCTAGACAAAATTCGCTGAAGCTTCTTATGTGTTTTTACATATATGCAAAAGCAAAAACGCGTATTGTGGCGGTACCGGTCTGTCCGTGTATTTCAACTTGGCAACCAGGCAATCGTCGGTGTTAAAATTTTGCCAGTAGATTTCCTGGCCGAGTGCCACTCCGGGACCGCAGTACCAGCCCTCATGCACGCCTGAGCTTTGCGTATGAGCGCGTGAAAGTTCTGGCGGGAAAATTGCTAACTGGGGAGCCAGAAAAGCTAGGAGGTTGAAATTTTAAAGAGATGTTCTCTGACCAAGTACCACGTAGTTGCGCTGACTATGTGAACTTCGAAGACCAGTTTGTCACAAATTTTAGTTGCTGGGACTCCAAGCGATCTTATTGCAGCACGAAATTCTGCAAAAACGCATAATTGCACGAGCCAGCCCGATGGGCGTCGCCAATGATTTACACTCTCATTCTGTCGATCTGGTTTCTTTGCAGCTGGAAGCTATCAGTTATTTGGGCTCTGGGATTTTTGTTTCGATATACAGTTTTGCTGCCAGTACGGTTGACGCTACTCTTTACTGGTGTGTGCTTTATGATTGTGAGTACCGCTGTGATTGGGCTATTGCCGGATGGGCCGAAGAAGCGATGGCTGAACGAACGTTGTTTGCTGTGTGGCTATCAAATTCTGTCCGGTTGTGTATCGGCCGTTATCACGTTCAATAATCGTGAAAACCGAGCTCGAAATGGAGGTAGAGTTCAGCTTTACTGATGTATATCATGGCTCAAAAAATCAGTGTAGTGAAAAGCGAAATACGACGAGTCGGATGGTCAGAGTGATTTGTGGCTTTCGAATCCAGAAATGCTGGAAAAGCAAATATGCTTTGTTAGCGGATGAAGCAAAATGTGTATTTTAGCTCATATGCGCAGTGTTGATGTTGAACTGGGGCTTTTGAGGTCTCGTCCGTTGGCCCGGCGCTCCGGCGCCTTCTCGGATCGTTGGCTGGGTCATCCATTCTTTGGTGCTGGCTCGGGCTAGGAGGATCCACGTCCTTAGTTGGTCGCCGGGGCCGGGAGCACAACACAATACAACACAGCACTGGTTTCGCACAGAAACAGTGGCTTTATATAGGCAGCTTCATGCCGCTAGAAATGGCCTACCTGGAATTAGTCATGATGCAACACTGGAACCGGGAAGTAAGAGTTGCCTTGTCATCCCCTTTTGCCAGCTTTTTATTTTGAAAAGATTTAGTCATTTTTCACCTTGAAAAATTTGCCCGGAGATCTTAACCTGTGTTTCCTTCAATTTTTTGAGAAAATGTTTGGCAGTTTTATCAATTATGGATTAGCCAGAATTTTTCAGAAATGCTCTTTTTCGTCGATAAGTTTTTATTATTAAATAATTCAATTGGTGTAGCTGCGCTCGGCTTACAGAAGTATACCAGAAGCATCATTAACTTGGAATTCCCACACCAATCGCCCCTCCGGTTTTGCTGTTTCTGGTATACTGATACTTACTTGAATACTTGAGCAGCAGTATGTCATCGACGTTCGTTGTCACACCATCGATGCAACTGGCAACTTCTCCATTCAACTCGTTGTTGCGCTGTCCGAGTCAACGTGGGATGCCGTAGAGGAGTACCATGGAGTTTCTCTACCTCACGGGTGGTCTCCCCAGTGCTCGCTTGATTGTATACTGATTATATATATAAAAAAAAAGCTCTTTCAGCTTGCTCTGCCAGGAAAATATTCTAAATTGTATAATATTACTGTTATTGAAGGAATATGTGTTGCAAACCATACATCACCAATCGATGTGGTGATACTCAGTACAGACTGTGCTTATGATTTGGTGGGACAACGTCATGGCGGTTTGCTTGGAATTTTGCAACGTGCCCTCAGTCGTGCAAGCTCGCACATATGGTTTGAAAGAAGCGAGGCCCGGGATCGTTCATTTGTTGCCGAAAAGTAAGCTTCTTATACCGGGATTCATCAATTCAATAACTAATAATAATTAGACAAGATAGACAGATTGGCAGTTATGTAATTGTCAGTTTGCATCGTTTTTCTTGTTTTTTTGGGCATTCAGCACTTACCAGTGTAACATTTTTCAATGGATTTTAGCGCTTCTTTGGATGCATTTTGCGCTTCAGTTGAGTTTTTATGTGTTTTTGCATATATGCAGATGCAAAAACGCATATTGTGACGATCCATGGCATGCGTATGTGTGTATTTTCGTGTGTGTGTGTGTCTGTTTGTCAGTCTGTCCTGATGTTTTAACTCGGCAACCACGTAAGCTCCGCCGTCAGAATTTTTGACGACGGGTTCGCCAGCCAATTGCCACTCCAGGACAGCGGTATCAACCCTTGCGCGCATCTGGACCCCGCGCACGACTGCATGAAAGTTTCGGCGGGAAAATTGCTAATTCTGGAGCCGGAGAAGCTGGAAAGCTGAGATTTTTGAGGTGTGTTTCTCGCGCAGGTAAAACTCAAAGATTTCAAATTCAGTCCTCGACTGTGCGTTGCCCCATCAAAGTTTCTAGCTGGAAAATCGCTAATTCGGGAATCAGAAAAGCTGGAAAGCTGAAATTTTAACAGAACGTTCCCTGTCCTAGTATCACAACAGTCGCATAATTAACTGCCTGAATTTTGAGGACCAGTATGTCACAAATTCTAGCTGCTGGAACTGAAGCAATCTTACTACAGCACAAAATACTGCAAAAACGCATGATCGCACAGGCCTGCCTAGTGCGCGTCACCAGTGGTTTGTCTTGTCGGCTAAATGTTACATCCGTCGATCCCCTTTATTGCGCTGTTATGCTGCTGAAAAGCGTTTGCTGTGACCTTCATAATTTCACCTTTCCCCACATACCACTATAAGCCTAAATATGTTCAGAACAGTGTGCAGTACACATTCCTTGTTCGATTTCAGATTGAAGGAGCACGTCAGTAATATGGATTTACTTCCAATTTTGATCTTTCCGGAAGGTACATGTATCAACAACACATCAGTAATGATGTTCAAAAAAGGCTGTTTCGAGGTACGTTTCTTTGATCTGCGCGGAATTCTCTGGCTAGTCCATCCCCGTTTTTTTTTCTTTATTAATTTAGAATAATGTGGGTTTTCAGGTCGCAACAACAATTTATCCAATAGCAATGAAATACGATTCTCGTTTTGGTGACCCGTTCTGGAACAGCAGTCAGCATGGATGGTTCGAGAATTGTTTTCGTATGCTAACCTCATGGGCAATTATATGCGATGTTTGGTATCTCAGACCAATGACGAAGCGTGTATGTTTCTGTCTTTTCCATGGGCGGATCCAAAGCGGCTTTCTGGAGGGCGGGCATTTCCTCCCCCCTCCCCCCCCCCTTCTCCCCTCGCTGGTCGGCACTAAACTGTGACG